CCCCAAAACCCCAAAACCCCAAAACCCCGAGATAAAAAGTAATTTAAGAATTTAATGAATATTTCTATTGATTGATAAATTTATTTTTGATTAATGGAATTAAGGCGATTAACATTATAGGCATCTCAGCAGTCCAATTACAATGATCAGAACTCTTAACGAAGACTATCCACTTCATCGTTGCGTTAGTAGGCTTAGTTTTAAAGTTTAAAAAGACAGAGTATTAGAATTAACAGTGAGAATAGAGAAACTGGTTTGACTGAGGATATGGGTAGTTTGTATAAAGGAACTAAAAACTACTTATATCGCACAATAATACAGAATAAGAATAAAAACTAAATGCTAACTCCAAGATCAGACTAGAAATCAATGCATGATAATAGCATGATTCAAGGAGAAGCTTAAGAAGTTTATTTGGAAACTCATGAAGACATCCAAGTAATGCTTGAGGAAAAAGATAACTAAATTTTGCAACTATTAGAGAAGCTCAAGGTTTATGAATCAACAGATAGCAGCATGGTGTAATTTAATCAAAAGAGTAAAGAAGCATATGCAAATTTGAAAAAAATGATGTAAAAAAAATCTGAAGAGTTCAATAAGAAGACAGAGGAGTAAAAATCTGAATTGGCAAATAAAAACAAGTAAATCTCAGACTTAGAGTAGTTCATAAATGACCTGAGGGGACAAATAGATCGCTTTCATATTTAAATGGATCTAAAAGATCAATTAATAAGATCTCTTGAAGTCCAATAAAAATAAAAAGTAGATAAAGTGCACGAACTTGAAACTTTAATCTCATAGCATCGAAATTTAAAGAGTACTTTAGAAGGTATGTAGTAATACAAATAACTCTCCTTATTAGATCATATTGATTCCCTAAAATCACTAAACCAGCAGATTAAAGAAAGCTTTTTTGAGGTATCTGACTTTATGAACGACATAGTAGCTAGACTCTAGTAAATAGACCCTCACACTTAAAACGCGAATCAAATCAAATAGTAAATACAAGAAATCAATCTAATGATATAATAATAGTCCGAGGAGCTTGTAAACAAGCAATAATAAGAAAAAGAATAATTAAAAATATATGAAAATTAGATGATAATAGAATTGAAATAGCAGAAAATTGAATAAGAAACAAAAGTATAGCAATTGCAGGAGCACATTCAGGAATTAAAAAATGAAATGTTCAATAAAGATGAGAAACTGCTCATGCTCTAAAAGCAATCACAAAGACTTGAAGATGATAAGGATACTTTAAAATAGATGCTTAATAAGATTAATAATGAAGTAAAAGAATTCAATGAAAAATACAACTTGCTGCTAGGAGATTTTGAAAAATTGAAAAAAGAAAATAATCAGTTGAGACGTTAGCAAGTGAGTATCTTGAATTTGGATAAGGAAATCAATTTAACAAATTAAAATCCAGTAAGCAGCAAAGATAACGACTTATTTACAAATTCATTTATCGGATAAAACTAACAATAATTATAAAGTGCGAATGCTAAAAGCTATTAGACTCCTCCAACTAAAGATTTATTAAGGATACCAAAAGGCAACTAAAATCCTTATTAAGACTCATCTATTCTGAAACCAATAAAAGTGAATTCAAATGACAAGCAATAAAAAATAGGATAGTAGACTTAGTAATTTCAATTGGAATATAATGAATCAGATAAGCAGATACGTGATTAACTAAATAAAGATATGGCAGTATTTAACATTATGCTATTTTCTATTACCTTCATTATAACAATACTTGTACTCCTTAACACATTCAATGAAGCTTAAAGTTTACCAGGTCTTAATTTAATTACCAGATTGTTTGGAATAAAAACAACTACTAACTCAGTTATTTTTGATAATTGAGGAATTAAAGATACTACCAATTTGTTGATGAATTAGTTTGAAAGATTTATAAACTTGCACTTTTATTCTAAAAACCCACTTATCTGATTATTTTTCTAATCTGGTCCTTAAGGGGTTTTGGGGTTTTGGGGTTTTGGGGTTTTGGGG